GTAGAATTTGCCCAAAATTCTTTTGAGTGATAACTAGACCATACAATCTAATGATTACTTTCTTCTAACCAAGTGGAATTGACCTCATTACTCAACTTGCATGCCAATATTTGACTTATCTCCATAACAAGCACTCTCCTAACAACTACAGAAGCATCCACTTAAACAAGATAATAATACAGAAACGAAGTGACAATATTCACAGATAATCATGACAATACCATAGGAAGCACGAAACTAAAAGAGAATAAACAGCTTCACATGCGAGGAAGGAGCTCACGAACTGAACCATTTTTGCAGAAAATAGAGAGACAGAGAGAGAGGCAGGAGGCTCACGATTCACGGACTCACGGAGTCTGTTGTCACAAACACGGTGCAGTAGGCCAGTGCCAGAGACCGGAGAGGCTGTGGGTGACCGTCGGCGGCAAGATATAACCGAATAGCAGATTTCCAAAATCTTGAAAGCCGGTACCTCGACGCAGAAACGACGAACGATCTCCTCGACGATCGATGACGGCGATTTGGCCAGACAATAAGAGAGTCGGCGACTGAGACAGAGCGGCGGGCGTCGGAGTGTGAAACGCAGAGACGAGAGGGAAAGGGAGAAGTCAAAATTGGAGAAATTAAGTTTGCATTTTGGTCTCGTCTGCCGCCATTTGAGATACTGAGTCGGACTGTGAAACGCAGAGACGAAAGGGAAATGGAGAAGTCAAAATTGGAGAAATTAGGTTTGCATTTTGGTCTCATCTGCCGCCATTTGAGATACTGAGTCGGAGTGTGAAACGCAGACGAGAGGGAAATGGAGAAGCCAAAATTGGAGAAATTAGGTTTGCATTTTGGTCTCATCTGCCGCCATTTGAGATACTGACAATATAATTAACACATGTTTGGTATTCTAATATTTCAGAGGGGCAAAAATGTCATAAATTGATATCTTTGATAGCAAATTTAAAAGGTGACAATTTTGATAAAGCAAACTCAATTTTTGATACCTAATGAAATTTCCTCTTTTTAGTATTGAGATCCTGAAATGGAAAATTGTGTTTGGTACCCTTACCATGATATCCAGCTTTTTTCAATGTTGACAGTTGACAAAAGAAGGGAAGGGAGAAGAATTGAAAATTGGGAGTGCAATTTTTACCCAAAAGAAAAGAAAAGAAAATAAAAATTTATGCAATATTAAGAGGGTGTTTGATACTCATTTTATTGTAAAAATGTATTTTACAATAATAAATTGATGAAAAAGTATAGTTGAAAAATAAGAAAATTTTTTTTGATCTACGTATAATATTATTTTAATAAAGAATGTGCGGTTGAAAAGAAGAGAGAGAAAAATGCATTTTGAAAATAAATGGATACCAAACGAGATCTAAATTTTATGTCACCACTTTGAATAATTATCATTTGTTTATAAGTAGTCACAAATGAAAGTGCGTTGCACATTATTCTGAATGCTTTATAAGTATTATTAAAGTAATATTTGAAAATGCGTAAATATTAAAAAATTGTTTATGATAAATGAATATTTAGGGTCTATTCGATAGTGATTATGAAAATTAATTTTTTTATCGTATAAATATTAAAATTTTTTTTGTGATAAATGAATATTTAGGGTCTATTCGATAGTAATTATGAAAATTGATTTTTTGATTGTTAGAAATAAAAAAGAATCTTAACTTTGAGAGAAGAAGTCAAAAATAACGGTTGGAATGGTGAAATAATGATAAAAAAAAATTGATTGTTTGAGGTGAAATATTACTACCAAACGAGAGCTTAATTCAATAAGAATATCTTTGTACACTATATTTTTTGTGTGATTATAATTATTTGACTTAACTAAAATATTTGTAGATGTCATATCATAGATTAAATGAATATTTTTGAAAAAATATAAGTGTACACAAACTTGAATAATTTATTTACTTCTAGAATAATCGAGTAGACCCAAAACATATAAAGTATAATTAATTTGCACATTTTGATCTAATTATGAGATAAATGCAAGTCCTTGAAAATAAGTGTTAATTATTATGCATACGTAATTGAATGTTAAATACATATTAAAAACAAAAAGTAACGTATTATGTTAAAATAACTGAATTGTAGTAAGATTAGAATCGGTCCAAAAAATGATTATCACTTGATGTGATATTTAGCCCCTGTCTAAATCTCATTTTTCATCAAAATATATTTTTCAACGGTGATTTAACCTAATTTCAATCGTACAATTTTAATAAAATAATATTACATATAAATTCAAATTTTTATTTTTATTTTTATTTTTCAATCACATATTCTCCATTATAGTACTATTGTAAACTGCATTTAAAAAAAAAAATGCTCAAGCAAACCCTTAATATATTATAGATTAAGCTAAGCTGGATGGTGTAGTTATTCCTTGCATTCAATAATTATGTTGGTGCTATCGATAAAGTGATATTTTTGTGATGAGTGGATTGAATATAATATTTTTGTAATGAGTGGATTTAACAATAAGACTTGGCCCCTTTTTTATGGTTATTATTATAAATAAAAAAGTAAAAATTGTTATTTTGAATAGTGATTTTTTTAAAAAATATGTAATTAAAAAAATATTTTTAAATTTACATGTAAAATATTTTATTGTATGAATGTGTAGTTAAAAAATTAAATATGTGACAAAAAAAATAAAGAATTGTAATTAGTATTACTCGTAACTTAAACCAATAACTTTAAAAGGTCTATCCGACAAATTGAGAAGACCTATAATAATTTGATTTGCTAATATCACAACTAAAGAAAAGAATACACACACACACACACACATATATATATATATATATATATATATATATTTTAATATATATATATTTTAGGTTGGTTCTCTTAATATATATATATAACTCTTGTATATATTTTAGGTTGGTTCTCTTAATATGTCTTTTAAAATGATCTTCAATGTTGACGTGAATTGCACTAAAAACGTTGCTAAATGAGCCAAAACAGTCAATGTTACAAATCTTGAGGAATAGTTCAATAATTAGATTTTGAGTTTACTCCCCATTGATCACAAATTCAAGTCCCATCAGAGTCATTGAGAAAAGTACCCATGACTGTAAATTTTAGGGACCCTGTGAAATTAGTTGAACTGCATGTAACTTGGTCCGAACGTCCACGATCATTAAAAAAAAATTAATGTTACAAGAGTTCCTTTCTAGTGTAACGTGTCAAAATTAAATCTAGCCTACGTTACAAGAAATAAGTAAACTTATCAAAAAGACTTTCTAAAAATATAGAGATATTGGTAGACATAGCGAGTCACTATAATTTAAAGTTAATTACCCAAATAGTCACTGAACTTTGTCAAAAGTTTTCAGGAGACCATTGAATTTCAAAACTTTCCTAAATCTTTATTTGTTAACCATTCTACCACATTATTTTTTTTATGGTACTCATTTTCAACCACACATTCTTTATTAAAATAATATTACACATAAATCAAAAAAATTCTTCTTTTTTAACAATACATTTCAACATCAATCAATATTTTATAATACACCTTTTGAATTAAAGGGGCATAAACAGGGCTTGATAGTTACTGAAATTTGCCAAAAATTCTCAAGAGGTCATCAAACTTCAAAATTTCCCTAAATAATCACTGAACATTGTCAAAAGTTCTCGGGAGGTCACCGAATTTAAAAACTTTCCTAAATAGTCATTGAACTTTACCAAAAATTTCCGGGAGGTCACTCAACTTTGCAAATTAGAACTCATACATCACTAATTTAGTGACATTTTAGGAACTTTTTGCAAAGCTTAGTAACTATTTAGGGAAAATTTTGAAGTTTGGTAACCTCTTGGGAACTTTTAACAAAATTCAATGACTATTTTAGGGAAGTTTTGAGAGTTAGTGACCTCCTGAGAACTTTTGGCAAAGTTCAGTAACTATTTAGGGAATTAACTCATATAATATTTTCTCACTTTCCTTTCATTAATTTTTTCACATTTTTATTACCTTTTCACTTTCCTATTAAAATGTACATTTGAGATAAAATTTGAATTATAAAAGGAATTACATTGGAGATGAAAGTTGAATTAATATTATACATTAATGTCGCACGGATAAAAAATATATTTCTATTTAAATATCACCTGGATTGTAATTCGTATAATGCATGTGACATTAATGTCTAATGTTAATTCAAGTTATATATACTCTCTTACGAACTATAATCAATGAATTAGTAGATCTGTTTCGACCAAAATGGAAATGTGCTAGGGTTATGAACTTTTAATCCGATGATCATCCAAATCATGCATGCATGGTTATTATTTCTTATGCAAAGCTTTATTCCATAACTTGGTAGATTTGCACAACTAGCAATTATCTCTGCTTCTTTGAGATTTAGAACTTGGTCCGGTTCATAATGTAAAAAAACTCATTTTCATCACATTCTCCCAAAAAATTAATTTACACATTAATTCAATTTTTTTTCTTAATCCTTATTTGATGTCCGTTATTTCATTGAAATGATTTTTGTAACATCGAATTGTCGGAGACTATGTGATTAAAAAGTAGAATAAAATTTTGAGTTTACGTTCAAAATATTTAATTTTGATAATGTATAATTCAAAATGAGTTTTGATGAGAATTAAATAGGGTTTAATTTGTAGCCATACATTTTTCAAAAAAATCACTATTATAAAACTCATTTTAACAAAAAAAGAAAAACAAAAATGTATTTCATAAATTGTTCATATATATATATATATATAAACTCCGTTTGAGTCCCAATTTTTAATGCAAAATGAATTTTGTAATAGTGATTTTATATAGAATGTGTAGTTATAAATTAAGAAAAAAATTTAAATTACGTAGTAAATTATTTTGTTGAGAGAATGTGCGATTTAATATAAAATTGAGGAAAAAAAAATTAATTCTTAGATAATTAACCTCGAAGAGCCGAAGGGCAAAATGTGTTTATATTTTTGCAATATAAAGACTCGACTTTTAATATTTCTCCAGCCCAGTAAAATCCCCAATTCCACGACGCTTCTCTTCGCCCCAGCGGCCCAGCTCCTCCTTCGCTTCCTCTTCGGTGCTCACAGCTCACAGATACAGCTCCAGTTTTTACACAACCTCCAAGAAAGAACCTCAAAGAGGTAAAATTGTTCGTCTTTCTTCAATCAAAAATTTAAAAAAGCGTTTATTTTTTCAGAGAGATTTGGGTCTATTTTTTACAATTATTTGATTTTTTGTTAATTTTCCTGAGTAATTTTGATTTATTCTCTGTGTTTAGATTACAAATTTTGTATGATTTATTGTTTATGATAGCTAGTTGTGTTGGAAAGAGTAGAAGTTCCCGATGGGTTTTGATGCATTACGTGTAATGTGGTTTTTCTTGCTTAGTTTACAGAAAAGAATAATGCTGTATATAAGCAGTTACATAATGGGTGAGGTGTCGGAAGAGAGTGGGGAATTATTATTATTTTTAATTTGGATGGAGAAATTCTGACTTAGCTACATCTCAATATGTCATGTACATCATGTGTACCTAAACCATTATGTAATGTAGCACAACCAGACTAAAAAACTGTGGAAAATATTTTTCGACCTGGAAAATTTTTAAGTATTCTTGATTTTCCGATTGTTATTTATCCTTTTGTATTGCCAAGAATAATAAAGCTTTCTGATTCTGTAGTAGGGCTTTATATTTTACTAGGGAAAAGGTCTTGAATATGCATCCTATTTTTTTATTTTTTATTTTTTTTTTCCATTAGCTTTTGGGCATTTGGGGAATATTTTAGATCAATTGAAGTTAGAATTATGTTCTATTTATGAATTCCTTTAATAAAGTTAGCGGTCTCCCACATTTTCCCATTATTCTTTTTGGCTTCAAATGATATTGGGGTGACGAGGGGTACAAATGTGGTGTAAAATCTAGCATTCAAAGAAAAATATGGTTGTGCAAATATTTTTATTATTTTTTATTTTTTCTCAGGAATAAGTAATTAGAGGATGGAGAGCACGGTGGATGCAGCAGGAGCTCCAGTCCCGACTTCATCTGTCCTAATGGCAGCAGCGAAGCACATAAGTACTCGATGCCGCAATGAGAATGTTGCATTTCTCAAGTGCAAGAAGGATGATCCGAACCCTGAGAAGTGCCTTGATAAAGGCCACCAAGTTACTGGCTGTGTGTTTAGCTTGTAAGTAAAAGTTTATATATATGTACGTGATTTAAGTAGAAGTCTTTACCAAACTTGAATACTTCTTAACTTTTTATGGTTGTCAAATTATGAACTATTATAGATTGATCTCGAATGGATTGGACTAAGCTTAGTTTGATGTTTTATGGGTTGGACTTCATTGGACATCTTCTGGTAGCTACTGTCGTACTGAAAGTGAGGGCTTTCCCTTTTCATTTCGATGGATCTTATTCGTTGTTACGGTTGGACGTAAAAAAGGAAGGTTCAAATGTTAAACCACACGGGTAATAGCAGGGGGATTAATGGCTAAGAAGCATGGATACTTGTAAATTCATTACATACCCGTAATTGATATGTATCCAAGTTTGGATGCTCTGTTATACTCTCGGATACGTACCAGATGTATTTTTTATTTATTTTATATATTTTTAAAATTTTATATACGTATTGGATACTTATTTTTTATTTATTTTCAAGAATACTTATTTTTTTAATTATTTTAGTAACTTATTGAATATTAATAATATTTATTGAAAATATACAATTAGTTTACCAAGAAAATTATATCTCTGTTTCCAAAAAGAATCCAAAATGTGGAACATTGCTTAATACTCCGTTGATACTCTTGAAGGTGTTGAATTGCTTGATGTTGTTAATCCATCATTAGATGAGCGAGCGAGAGTTCGAGAATAAAATGATTTAGTATTTTATTTTATTTGTATTATTATGCTTCAGTTCTTTTTTTTTTTTTTTTTTTTATGTTGAATTTCATAAGGGATAATTGTAGCAAAAATCCCAAACCCTTAAAACACTAGCAGACTTTTCCTAAATCTTTAATTTGTTGCCGTTGTCACCTCTAACCTTTCCAAACGTTTTAGGTGAGACCCTTTTGATGATTTCCATCTAAGATGCTGTTAGTTGGCCAAAATTATGTTTGACTACAATTTTTACATTTTAAAGAGGGCAAAATAGTTATTTTATATATTTGTATATTAAACAATGAAATAATAAAACAATAAAAAAAAGGGAAAAAATTGAATCTTCTTCCCCAAACAACCCAAACCCACGCTGCCGTCGCCGTTGCCGTCTCCGTCTCCTCCGTTACCACTAGGCACCTACATTTTGACCACCACCGACTCCAAATCGCGACAACTTCTTTTGAGTAAAAATCAACTTCAAACAATTTCTTCACCACCATTTCGACCACCACTGACTCTTTCGATTTGTAGCCAATTGTTGCACCAATACCCAACTTTGTCGTGCCCACCAAATCACAAACGCTGAATTCTTCAATCTCAGCCACTGACATCACCACCCGAATCTCACCCATCATCTCATCTTTCTCAAATCCATCGCTCGGCTGCACGATACCATCTTCATCGTTGATCACCATTATAATGACTGTCATCGTGATGGTTTTCTTCTCCACACCAACCCACGGTCATCATATCCCTAATTAATGTCCTAATATAGTTTTCTTCTCCATACCAACACATGTTAAAAAAGTTGAACCCCAACCTTAAGGGTCCCCCACCGCCCCTGTCCTGGAGTATCGTGAGGGAGGTAAATCGCAGGTTATGCCTTCAAGGGTACAGGGTGGAAGGCTGCTTGTACACTTACACTTACCCAAGAGCCAAATCCATATTTCAGGATTCGAACCCTTGACACAGCAGCCTCAAGCAAAGTTGGATTTCTCCACCCTTCCCTTTTACCACTTGGAGATGTGCCATGGGGGCCCATACCAACACATGTTGAAAATACAGAAGGTGGACAGGCAATCGATGATGTTATCCAAATAATCATAAGAGTTGTCTAAATTAAATTTTTCACCTTATGTTGGCATTGTGTTTTTGAATTTCTTGTTTTTTTGCCGTGAATTATTAGCCTTTTTGCTCCTTCTTCCCGTCTTAGACTTTTGACCAAATATTACAATGGCTTCCTCTTCATCTAATTCGTCATCTTTCTCCACGTTTATGGTGGGTCGTGGCAGCCAGTAAGTGGTGGGCGAGAGGAGGTGGGTAAAGATGTTTCTGGTTTTTGGTGTGGGGGTGTTTGAGGAAGAATATTCAATTTTTGTCTTTTTTTTTGTTTTAATTGTTTTATATGGTAATATATAAAATAACTATTTTACCCTCTTTAAAATGTTGAAATTGTAGTCAAACTTAATTTTGGTGGTCAATTAACGACATCTTGGATGGAAACCACCTGCAATGTTTGGAAATGGTAGGGGTGATGATTACAACAAATTAAAGGTTTGGGGAAAGTCTGTTAGTGTTTTAAAGGTTTGGGCTTTTGCTACAATTATCCCATTTTATAACAAATATCCACATTTCTTTTGTTTTTTTAAAAAGTTCTATCAATGTACCCGTATCATATTATATTTGAATTACGTATCTATATCCGTCCTTCCTTCTTAGATTGATGGCTTTAGGCAAAGGTGTTGATAGATTTGGGGCTGACCCGGAATTGGAAGATGATAGAGGAAGAACCACATTGGAATTAGATGGGAGATTTTGAATGTGACAATGGAAGGCAACCTGTGCAGTTTGCTAGGAGATTGGGATTGGAGAATGGGATAAGGGTGTTAGAGGATGCCATTTTTAGTGCGCAGAGGTGGAGGAGATACTGCAGAAGAGAGGGAAGGGGGAGAATGTAGAGTACTTGGTGAAGTGGAAGCAGAGTTGAGTTTATGGTGGTGGTAGGTGGAAAGAAACTAGACATAGATACATGGATTTTGATGATGCATCAATTGATAATTGTAAACTTCTGTCCAATGGAGAACTTGCCTGTTAATATTTAGTGCACTTTTGACGTCCATTAATTAATTTTATGGTTTGCTATATAGGACCATTTTCAACCACTTATTCATGCAATAAAATATTCTACACGTATACCAAAAACTCTTTCCTACTTTTTAACCGCACATTCTTCTAAAAATCACCATTCAAAATATTCGCTG